GGGGCCTAAGAGATGAGTTGATCGGACTGCATCATTCGATGAGTGTGGATGGTGTGTAGAGGAAGGCCGGTGAGCGGTGATCTGCCAGAGCGAATGGCACTTCGAGGTTGCCCCAGCCGAAGAACGGGGCTTGGTTGACGACCTATCCTTTAGCTTCTAGGTCTGACCCACGTGGCATTAGGATGATGTAGGGTTTGTCCGGGATTAGGGACACCTTATGCTCAACGAGGATCAGATCTTCTGATGTTAGTAAGTGGTTATATTTGATTATTTTTCAGGACGGCGGTTCACACACTGAACATCGGTTAGGGGCCTAAGAGATGAGTTGATCGGACTGCATCATTCGATGAGTGTGGATGGTGTGTAGAGGAAGGCCGGTGAGCGGTGATCTGCCAGAGCGAATGGCACTTCGAGGTTGCCCCAGCCGAAGAACGGGGCTTGGTTGACGACCTATCCTTTAGCTTCTAGGTCTGACCCACGTGGCATTAGGATGATGTAGGGTTTGTCCGGCCTGCCTGCCCCTAGCTCTGATTCAAACGTCTGTACCAAAAGGCAACGGCTATTGGGGTTGTCTTTGGAAACCCATCCCGGATCCAATGACTCAAGAGCCTGGCCTACTTGGTTGTGGAGGTCAGCCTGGCCCGAGGACGCAGGGATTAGGGAATGAGTGCCCCATCCTTAAGGCACTGCGACAGCAGTGCGCGGTCAAGATGTGCGGTTTCTAGAGCGGATCTTTTCAAAGCCGCCCTTCTCCGATGGAAGGCAGCATTGCTGCACCCACGAATATGGACGCGCTGGTCTCCTCGAATAAAAGCCCTTTTACGTCACCTGCAATCGCAGAGAATAGTACGATTTCACCTCCAGATCACCTTGTAATACGATTCTTTGTAGTACGGGGACTCGTCGTTCTTTATCCCGCTGCATGTTTCTGATCTTCCTGGCATGGGCGAACTTTTGGGAACTGAGTTCAGGCCAGCATGGTCAGGATCATTGTAGCACCGGAACCTGACCACCACGACAGGTTGGCAGTTTTAGATCGGGACTTGACGGGTTGTGGGGTTGTGGTCGACGCAATTTCCGTCAGGTTGAGATCCTGTTTGATGCTCCTTGACTAAGACATCGCATAAGCCTTGTGTGTCAGTTACGTCAATCACCTTGTTTCCACTGGAATCAAACTGCCGCCTCTGTGCTTAACACATTTGCTCTGAAGACCACTTTTGAAAACGGGTTTTAATAACGACACAGTAGTCATCAGCGATGGTTTCTCGCTCCCAGATAGACATAAGTAAACAAGGCAGTGATGAGTTCAAGTCATCCTCGAACACTGATGGCAGAGCTTTGCCGGGACCAAAAGCACGACGACGCTTCAGTGGAGATATGCGCCTAGATGCATTTTAGAGCTCATTATTCCCTGTCCACCTTTCTGTTGAAGGATGGTCTTATTTAATTGCGGGTAGCAAATGGACAACTGAATTGTTCTTCGAAGTATTAATAATAATGCTTATTCCCAACTGCGCTCAACGGCCTAAACGCTCTCTTTTGTTGAGTATCAGAGAGGAATTTCGTTCTTTGATGGGTTGGCTGACAAGAGAATTCTGGTGACCAGTCGAATGAATCAGGCGGAACAATCTGCAGGCGTTCTCAAAATTTTACCCCTTGGTGGGTGATAAATGGTAGCTTATCTGTTTGCCCAGCTTAACATTTCTTGCTTCTTCTATTGCTGTTTTCGATTCTATTCAGCCTTTCGGACCAGCTGAGTTTCCAGTTTTGTGTGAACATTCAGTTTTATCTGGTGTTAAATGATGCGTCTTATTTTCTTGTGGTTGCGTCTAATGGGAGCCTGCCCACGAGCCTCCTATTAGAGGTCTAATAGTTGGATGGCGTTGGCTGGGCTCTGTGACAGTAAGAATTTGCGACATTGGGTGGCGCTTCGAATACGTCTACTGTGGTTGCTACATACGACGTCAGAGCAGACAGTAGGCGTTTGAGGAGCCAATTTTCACTGAGCTCTTTCATTTTCGGGTCCACAAGTTTTCAGTGGCTAATTGCGGTGCGCGCGTCTTGATTAGGTCCGAAAGCCGGAAAAACATTTACTAACTGGCAAGCGCATGATAAACGGTTAACAAAGGTATTCAAAAAGAAGCGGCGAAAGTGATCAACCATCGCCGCCAGCAGCTGATAGCAATGTGACCGCAGCTGGTTCGTTGGTGGCACCAAGGCTTGCAGGCGAATTTCGCTGTTCTGGAAATTGAAACTGCAAAAAACGGTATTTGATCGGCACACACCTATCCGTGCGCCGCGTGTTCAACCCAAGAAAACCCTATCGGATCGCAGGAGCTCTTCGCCCAACTACTTGCATGTGTATGCCACTAGCAACCACCACGATTTTAGCCGCCTTATGGAAAACCTACAGGATCTTAGAGACTGTTCTTGTCAAATCCAGAGCTATGACTCATCGTAGCGCTGGAAGGCGCAATAAAGGAAGATGGTAGGCCTTATTTCTCCTATGTTTTTACACAGAATTTCCCAGCAGAACCACTTGGATGTGACGTTCAGTTGATATTTAGTAGAATAAATACGCCCTCAAGTTACCCATCACGCCAAAACTACTTACAGTGCCTAAAGGTTCAACATAGGCGCGCAGTCGGGAGTGAGAAGAGAGTAAGGAAGCAGTCAGTTCAGCGACAGCAATTTCATCCTGAAAAACCGTTCCCGACAAACACCGAATGATAATGCAGAGCGGATTCATGCATATGAACAAGGTCCGCTAGCAGTTAGGCTTGTCCCAATGTGCAGAGAATGAAGTCAGCTAAGCAGACCAGGTTTCTAGGCTTGTAAACAGAATTCAGAATGTTAAGGGTTGTTACTGAATTTGGATGTATAGAAATAAATTGTGACACAATGACCAATGCGTTCCATCCAAATGCTGGGGCTCATGGACCGTCTTCCGCTTGGCGTGAGGAAGGCTAGAAGGGAGAACATGTGTAAGTGCAAAGCAGCTGTCTGAAGTTGTAGGTTTTTGCTTTGTTGGGGATGTCATTATCCCCCAAAGCTGTTCATTTTCAGAGTCGGCGACTTGCGGTCTGGACCGGGCAGCGGGTGTATCAAGGCCATAGGGGCCCAATGTCAGGATGGCAAATAAAATATTACCGAGCTACAAATGGTCATTCCTCGCTTGCTCCGCTTGCGGTCCGGGTGCCCACGACATAAAGAACGCCACCGGTTCCAACCATGGCACGGCCAATTTTACCTAAGCGGAGTACTTCACCAACTGGATTGTTGTCAAGTGTCCGAGATGCGCTGCGCCAATTTGGACCCATGGCTGTAGCTGTTTGTGGTGACGAGAGTTTGAATGTTTTTTCACTTCCGTCCGTCTGCGTGGTTTGTTTGCAAATTATGGTGATGTGTTTTATGCAGATTCAACATAGCACCTCCAATGCCATCACACCGGGTGTGGTGGCGGTACGGCAATGGCAACCACTATGCGTCTTTGCCGCAGGCTGGGCGAACGGGGCTCTGGTCGTTTTCAGTCCGTTGGCTTGCACTAATTCTTTTCCCGTTTACTTTCCAGGCACAACTGTGGAACACATTCTTATTGATTCTGTTATTTGCTTGCGATCAGTCATAATAAAGTTATGTTTTCCTAAAATTGGTTTCATATTTCCCGACAACGCAAGCGTCACGGAAACCAAGGCATCCAGGCCTTTTGTTGAAGGCCAGCTTGCGTGGGTGAGAAAAACGGGGCGCAATTTCCCGATTTCGTCCATAGCCTCAGAGTGCCCCTGGAAACTTCCCCTAGCAGCACAACTCGGTTATTAGTCGGTTATATGGCGGTTAAAGCCGGTTATTTGACGGTTATTTAACCTTGTAGCTATCATCCAATCAACGTGAAGTGTTGTTGCCACACTTATTCATATAAGTTTTTCTTATCACACAAAATGTTGGCATGAAACAAAGTGCATTATTCCAATGGATTTTAAGAAACCCGTTCTGGCACTTTTTTGTTTATCTGCATCAGTGTTTAAGTAAATGGCCGTAGCCACCAGGCCCATTCCCAGAGTCGTCACTGGTCCACGCGCCTGCTGTCTCTACGTGTTTGTGAATTTCTGCCTGGAGGAATCGTAAGTCATGACTGCTGATACATGTATGACAACCGTAGCCTTCCAAACGTGGTTTGCTGGTTTCAAGGTGGACGCTTAACCGCAAACTAAAGCTTGCTAGGGGTTAGCCTTGGAACAACCACCCAATTCGATGAACGCACGCGACTTCCACCGTGCAGATCAGGAGATCGATTCACTAGCGCACAGTAAAAATGCCATTAGATGACTAATGTTCTAATTAGATGAATAACAGAATGAGGCGGATAATGAAGAAGAGACTATGTTCCAGCCTAGTTTGGCGGACATTTTCCGAGGCTGGATGATTTCGACCAATGTCCCCTTCAGTACCGTGAATCGCTTGCTTTTATCATTGCAGCATAAGCTTCCTGAACTGCCTCGAGACGCGCGGACACTGATGAGAGCACCCCGGTTATGTTCAACTAGAGAAGTCCACCCAGGAGAATACATCCATTTGGGCATTGCGAACGGGCTTCGTCGGGTTGCGCCGATGTACTTGCCACCCCAACCTCATATTATCCATTTACATATGAATGTAAATGGAATGAAGCTGCACAATAGCGGTACAACCGTAATCTGGCCTATACTAGCACGTATTGTGCGGCCCTTCACTAGCCCGGTATTACTTGTTGGGCTTTATGGAGGAGTTCGTAAACCCGAGAACGTTTGTACATACCTGCATGACGTAGTGCAGGAACTGGAAGAGCTCCTGCGCGTGGGGGTTGTCGTTAATGACCTGCATCATCAGGTCGTGTTGGATGCAATTATTTGTGACAAACCGGCACGCTCCTTCGTCACACGAATGAGAGGACAATTCCTACTGTGGTTGCGATAAGTGCTGCATAAATGGACAATACTTCCAAACGAAGATAACGTTTCCATATGGACAGCATGTTGTGCGAACTGACAACATTATACGTCGGGATACTCGAAACAGTCCGTCTCCATTCTTTACGTTACCCATTGATTTCGTTCACTGCTTTCCCACAGATTATATGCACGTTGTATGTCTCGGTGTTGTCCGTAGATTAGTTTCCATTTTCGTCAACGATGATCGACCCGTACGCATCGGGCCTGCTGGCTTGAACAGGATAGATCGCATGATTCAAAATATACGTGCCCATATGCCCGTGGAATTCCCGCGTAAGTGCCGGGAAATTACACTGTACAAACAGTGGAAAGCGACTGAGTTTCGTCAGCTGCTGTTTTGCATTGGTCCCATTGTGTTTAAGGACATTCTGCCCCATGAACGTTATCAAAATTTTCTAGATCTATTTATATCCCTGTATTTTCTTTCTCATCGTCGCTTTTCTGTTTTTCGCCTTGATTATGCACGACAATTATTGCTAGTATTTGTTAACAAGTTCCAAAAACTGTATGGCTTGCAGGAGATGGTGTACAATGTCCATTGTCTGCTGCATTTACCGGATGACGTCTCGTCTCACGGGCCTCTGGACAATTTTTCAGCATTCCCTTATGAGTCTTACATGTTCACACTTAAGCGCCTTGTACAAAGTCCCACGTATCCTGTTAGGCAGATTTATAAACGCCTGCAGGAGTCAGCATCGTGTCTCACAAACACCCCAGATTACCACGCCGATTGCGATGCGGGCTTACCTTTGAAACAAGTATCACTGAACAAAAAGCATTTCTTTAGTCTCGGTAAAGTTTCCTTATCTGCCAGTCCATCGGATAACGTTGTTTTGGTAGATGGTTATCCGTGCATTGTGACAGGGGTGGAGCATCCCAACACGGCCGACTGCATACTTAAGTATGTTTCATTTCTTTCTCCCGTTTTACCACTTTTCCCATTAATTCTCTTTTGCTAAATATTTTTGTGGTGAACAAATTGTCCACAGTTGTAAATAGCTGTCCCTTCTCTTTTGTGCAGTGCAAGTGCGCCATGCTTCCATTCAATGAAGTATTTGTAGTTTTTCCATTATCGCGCTCTATACCGTAATAATTTTATAATTTGATATACCGTATCAGGCTTACAGTTTTGTGAACTTCCATGAACAAGGCCTATGGCAGTTTGCAGTCCTCAGTTCTTCATGGATTGAGGGTAGCTGAGCTACATGGCCAAAAGTTCACTTGAAAGACTATAAGGCCGTTCGCCTTTATATACAGCTGCCAGCTGGATCAGTGAAGCTGAATTGCGAAGTCATTCGGACTTACGGTAGGTGTCAGGTAGACTGCATTAACTTTTCAGATGATTTCAAAAAGGCCCGCAAACGTGAGCGGAATTTCCAGTACACGTCGGACCTGGAGACTTTGGATGTAACCATTGAACTGGGTCGTAACCATCCTCGTCGAAAGTAAGACTACCGTGCGTGTTGTCAAGACTTTTTTTAGGAATACCAGAGAGCGAAGCCCCTCCCTCTCCATCAGTCCATCACCGAAAAAACCAAGGTTGATGGTGCCACAACCCCCCTTACCCCAGCTTCTCGCAGGCGACACCCCGTGCCTTGTTCCACTCAACTCCAGAGTGCACACCTCAGCATCCCGCACCCGTCCTGTCCACACCCAACCAGCCCGTCTATACGATGCCGCAGACGGTGCACCGTCTGCCACAGTACCCTTTAAACACCGCACCGGAGATCCCTATGTTTCCAGTTTTATCCCCACTATCTGCTCCTTTATTCCAAACCCCAGGAATCACAGCACTACTTCAGCAGAACAAACAGCTGCATCGGAAAATGGACGCAATGGCGGAAGATCTTTGATACCTGAAGATCCGCATTGACAACTCTTTGTTACAAGTCCATAGTTCATCTGGAACTACCGGCTTTACTTTTCCCCTCCGGAGCAAACGTTCGTGGGACCAACTGGAAAGTGAGCTGGCAGAGGGACCACGCCAGATTGAACTGGTAATTCAGTGTTGTTGATCTCATTTTTTGGCCACAGATGAAAGACTTCTGATCTTTTAGTGCAGCCACCATGGCGGACCTAGTGCGTCTGTGTCTCCGACAGGCGTTGGCTGACGAATTCGCCGTCAGTGTCGCCTACGCCGGGTCTTTTGACAAACTTCCATTCCGCCACACAAGACTCTGCATCCTAATCGAAGGTAGGTGATCAAAGATGGCTTGCTCACTGTCATTTCAGAAACAGCTCTTGGTAACCCAATGTCCAAAGACTGTTGCCGACAGGATTTGGATAAAAAATCCAAAAGTGGTTCGGTAACGCACGTCATCGACTGGCCCAGAGAACGCACATGGATCAGTTGGCAGTAAGTTTCGACTTTGCACTGGGACAAGTTTATCAGTAGTAACCGATACATCAAATGCTTATACATATGTTCTGTCACTTTTCAGACGTCCATATTGAACCAAGAAGCTGAGATCATCGAATTGGACGTGCCTCCGAACTGACTCGGTTTGGTTGTGAAGCAGTTATTTTCGTACATCAAATATATTTTTATCCTTGTTTCGCGTTCTCTAAGATCCTGTTACTAGGTTTATTTTCTGCAATGGATACGACGATATGCACGCGTGTGGTTACCAGTGTAGGTCAGTCGCGTTGCGGTTGTTAACCACAAACCGTTTTGCGCGATTATTTAACCCTTCAACTCTATTAATAAGTGGTCAAAAAGCCATCAGATAGTCCCGCTACGGTACAATTATTTAGCTTCTCCGTGGCCCTACAGTGCGAATAATGCGTGGCCGTTATGACGACGTAGAATAGGTCCAGTAACAGCGACTAACGGTAGTATGGTACTGATTTCGCTAACGAGGGTCATTTAATCGTCCAGTCACCAATAAACCCGGTTATTTAACCGTTTAACAACAGAAAAACATGGTTTTGACGGTTATTTAACCAAGCAATAGCCGGAAACCAGTTATTTGACGGTTATTTAACCGAGCAATAACCTGCAGACAGTTATTTGACGGTTATTTAACCGAGCAATAACCTGCAGACAGTTATTTGACGGTTATTTAACCGAGCAATAACCTGCAGACAGTTATTTGACGGTTATTTAACCGAGCAATAACCTGCAGACAGTTATTTGACGGTTATTTAACCGAGCAATAACCTGCAGACAGTTATTTGACGGTTATTTAACCGAGCAATAACCTGCAGACAGTTATTTGACGGTTATTTAACCGAGCAATAACCTGCAGACAGTTATTTGACGGTTATTTAACCGAGCAATAACCGACAATCACGGTTATTTGGCAGTTATTTAACCGAGCAATAACCGGAAAACACGGTTGTTTAACCGAACAATAACCGACGGATATCTTGGTGCAAATAACCATCTGCTAACCATAAAAGTCGGTAATTAGACGGTTATATAACCGTCGTATAACCGGAAAACTCGGTTATTTTGGACTGCGTGTGCTGCTAGGGTGTAGGTTAACATAGGGCCGCCTCTAACAACATACGTTTAGCCTTATGTACAATAGCCCGGCAGCCTAACTCTCCATGAAACACTTATTACGCTTCATGGGTGTCTCGTGTCACGGTGTTACTAGTTACGTAGTCGACAGAAATGTTATTCAATCAGAAGGTTCTATGACGGCGGGCACCGCACATGCATCCTAATCGAAGGTAGGTGATCAAAGATGGCTTGCTCACTGTCATTTCAGAAACAGCTCTTGGTAACCCAATGTCCAAAGACTGTTGCCGACAGGATTTGGATAAAAAATCCAAAAGTGGTTCGGTAACGCACGTCATCGACTGGCCCAGAGAACGCACATGGATCAGTTGGCAGTAAGTTTCGACTTTGCACTGGGACAAGTTTATCAGTAGTAACCGATACATCAAATGCTTATACATATGTTCTGTCACTTTTCAGACGTCCATATTGAACCAAGAAGCTGAGATCATCGAATTGGACGTGCCTCCGAACTGACTCGGTTTGGTTGTGAAGCAGTTATTTTCGTACATCAAATATATTTTTATCCTTGTTTCGCGTTCTCTAAGATCCTGTTACTAGGTTTATTTTCTGCAATGGATACGACGATATGCACGCGTGTGGTTACCAGTGTAGGTCAGTCGCGTTGCGGTTGTTAACCACAAACCGTTTTGCGCGATTATTTAACCCTTCAACTCTATTAATAAGTGGTCAAAAAGCCATCAGATAGTCCCGCTACGGTACAATTATTTAGCTTCTCCGTGGCCCTACAGTGCGAATAATGCGTGGCCGTTATGACGACGTAGAATAGGTCCAGTAACAGCGACTAACGGTAGTATGGTACTGATTTCGCTAACGAGGGTCATTTAATCGTCCAGTCACCAATAAACCCGGTTATTTAACCGTTTAACAACAGAAAAACATGGTTTTGACGGTTATTTAACCAAGCAATAGCCGGAAACCAGTTATTTGACGGTTATTTAACCGAGCAATAACCTGCAGACAGTTATTTGACGGTTATTTAACCGAGCAATAACCGACAATCACGGTTATTTGGCAGTTATTTAACCGAGCAATAACCGGAAAACACGGTTGTTTAACCGAACAATAACCGACGGATATCTTGGTGCAAATAACCATCTGCTAACCATAAAAGTCGGTAATTAGACGGTTATATAACCGTCGTATAACCGGAAAACTCGGTTATTTTGGACTGCGTGTGCTGCTAGGGTGTAGGTTAACATAGGGCCGCCTCTAACAACATACGTTTAGCCTTATGTACAATAGCCCGGCAGCCTAACTCTCCATGAAACACTTATTACGCTTCATGGGTGTCTCGTGTCACGGTGTTACTAGTTACGTAGTCGACAGAAATGTTATTCAATCAGAAGGTTCTATGACGGCGGGCACCGCACATGGTATGTAAAGTCGCCAACGAAAACGGAATGAATGATTTCCAGCCACAACTGAGTTTCAGGGTTCAAAACCTACAACTGTGACATAAGTTGCTGTTGCTTTAGGTATAGCTGATACGTGTCGTCAACGTGAACGACGCTGGGTGCAAACAGTCAATACACTAGCTTCTAAATATGGGTTGTTATGACTAATTGCTTTTTGTTACCACCAGTGGTCCCAAATATCATCTTCCTTCGGAGATATAGATAAGCTTAGGAACAAAATGTAAGATTACACTTTTTACATCCAAGCCGTCTTAAACTACTGGCAATCGCGTACTCTTTGCATTCATTACATTTAAAAATCTGTTAACGATGTAAATTTTTAAAAGATACAACCGCGCTATAATTCTTCATCTCGTTTTTGAGGGTCAATCATAAACCGCAAATTCGCCTTGATGCCATTTCTGAATGCTCCCGCCATCTATATTTCACCAATCAATATGTGGATAACGCCGCAAGTCGCGTGATCGCGTCCCTTTCTTCTAATTTTTTTAATTTTCAAGGTTCGCGCCCTTTCGGCCAAGTTGCAACTCAAACAAAAAACCGCCCCCTTTCCTATTGCGCTGATTGATTTATCGCTCCTCAAGGTCACCCGGAATATATATACAATTTTGCTTTTGCTGTAATTCACCTTTGATTGAGGCAGTAAATGCCTTCCCCTCTGCGCTGGGACTGGTGGTGCTCGCGTCATAGTTGGGGATTCGCATGCTTATTATCAAGTCGCGTATAGCCGTTGATTGTGTGTGCTTCCCTACATAACAGCTTACATATTTCGCCGCTGACACAAAAGACGCTGTGGTATGACAACACTTTCAATTGTATCACCGTTGCACAAAGGAGCCCCCGCCTCACATATAAGGAGAAGGTTGTTATGGTCCTGGTCCGGAGTCTTTGGCTCAAGACTTTTACCGCAAGGCAGCGGTTTGTTAACGTACACCGCAACAGTAGATCGATTTCCCAAAGAACAAATTTCCATGCCTGTTGCAAACCCGAACCTGTGAGACCAGGTGACTTCTTCAGGCTGCAGTGGCATTGGCAGATTCCTCAACAGAGCCTGAAGCATCATACAGGTAAGCAAACCGTCATCCCCTGATAAGATTAGGGCTACTCAGCGCCTGTCTGGGGGCTAGTCACCCCGAAACAGCCGATTATTGCGTTAACGGACTTCAAGAGCAGGCTACGCAACATATGGAGGAATGTAGTGATTTGTCAAAACGTGAGCCAATCACGATCGAGAATTTTGCGCTCGGCGCCTCTGACACAGGATTCTGGCGTAGCTTTGTAACTATGACTACCACAGTGAGAGGAAGGAGAAGTCAAATATCACCATCGGATTTGCACCACTGTCTCTAATAAAGGCAACCGGCAGTAAAATGCTGGATTGCTGCCTTAAGCAGGCAAAAGCCAATTCAGTTTTTTAGCTACAAATTTTTCACCGGAGTACACTGATGCAAGCGTTTGCAGTTTGCTCCGTTGGTGACCGGATGCATAGGTAAACTGTTGAATGTTGATAACGGATTGCTTGCAATCTAGAAAACTAGAGGCGTGCACAATGGAAGCAAATCAGTGGCGGCGTGATCAGGTCATGTTCACCAGTACTAACATTCCATAGCGCACGTTATTCCAATGTATTTATCCTGGAGGACTACAGTTGACAAAATGACCGGTTTCATGTGCTAAAGACTTAACAGGTAGTTGTCAAGTCACGGGTGATGATCCTTGGTTCTTTCCCGATTTGCTCGTGGCAAGGCCAGAAAAGCATTGCAAGGTAGATGAGACTTTCGCGCATGAAACTGGACCTAGCTAGCATAAGTCATCGCCGTGGTTGGATGTGCGATTCTCCTAGTCATCAAGCAACGCACCTTAGCATTACTGATGCTTTGGAGGCCCACAATACCAGACAGCGAATGCCGTTCTGCAGCCCCCGCAATT